CCCCATGCATCAGGCATCTCACTCCCATTTCCCGTGCATCAGGCATCTCACTCCCATTTCCCGTGCATCAGGCATCTCACTCCCATTTCCCATGCATCAGGCATCTCACTCCCATTTCCCATGCATCAGGCATCTCACTCCCATTTCCCGTGCATCAGGCATCTCACTCCCATTTCCCGTGCATCAGGCATCTCACTCCCATTTCCCATGCATCAGGCATCTCACTCCCATTTCCCATGCATCAGGCATCTCACTCCCATTTCCCATGCATCAGGCATCTCACTCCCATTTCCCATGCATCAGGCATCTCACTCCCATTTTCCATGAATAACTCATCTGATTCCCCCTTCTCATGCATGCAAAGCACATCTGACCTTCAACTCCCATCCATAATGCTTCTACTCCCCAAACCCGGTTCATTGGTCATCTGAATCTCGCTTCCTAGTGGTCTAGTGCTCTCTCCACAGGCAACTGACTGATCATCATTCTTCATGCATAAGGCATTGCTTCCCTTTCCCGTGCAGTCCAGGCTTTTCGTTTGGTTTTCATTTCTGATGCATAGTGTGTCAACGGACTCACGTATCCCCTCCATCGGGCATCTGATTCTTATCTTCCATGACAAATCCATTTTATTTCCCCTCAAGTATCTCATTCTTGTTGTCCGTGCATCAAGCAGCTGATTGCCACATGGCATGCATGCATGCATGCATGCAGTAGCTGATCTTCATTTTCCATGGATTAGGCATCTGATTTCATGCATCATGTATTGAATTCCCAGTTTCCATGTAACAGGTGTCTGATCCCCATTCCATAGACATCAAGCATGTGATTCCTGCCCGGTTCCCACGCGCACGGATTCCAAATTCCTATTCTTACCATCACATCAAGCATCAGATTCCAATTTACCATGCAAAGGGCATCTGGTTTCCATTTTCCATGCGCCAGGCTTCTGGTTTGCATTCCATATCGCATCTCATTCACGCACCTGATTTCCATTTTCCATATGGCATATGCATCACGCATCTCATTCATATTTCAATTGCATCAGGCATTTTACATCGAATTCCATGCACTGCGCTTCTGATTCCCATTGCCCATGAATCAGCCATTCGATTCCCATTCCCGATGAAGCTTACACGTTTCATTGTATGAGGCCACATCCGCCTCCCCCCATGTCTTAAGATGCTAGGCCGGCCAGGTGGTGGAGCAGCAAGTGCATTCAGATCACTTCTGGGTTACTGGTTAAAAGTTCACATCCACATGCATATCTTGTGTTACTTTCTTGAGAGTTGCGCGTTGAGAATAGCACGCTACTTGTGTTTCCATTCCATGTGCTTATCACTGTAGGGAGGCATCTGGTCATCATTCTTGATGCATGCATCAGGCACCTGCTTCCCATTTCCAATGCACTGAGCATCTGATTCTCATTTGCGATGCATCCAGCATGTAGTTTCCATTTTCCATGCATAGGGCGTCTGACTGACTCCCATTTCCCCTCCATCAGGCATCTGATTCTCATCGCCCATGTTTTTCATTTTGTGCCACAGGTATCTCATGCCCATTATCCGTGCAAGGCATCTGATTCTCGTATCTCATGCATGCATGGGGCACCTGATTTTTGTTTTCCATGCATCAAGCATCCCATTCCATGCATCGGGGATTGGATTCCCATGGCCCATGTCAAAGGTGTTTGATCCTAATTCCCTCAGCATCAAGCGTGTGATTTCCGTTTCCCATGCACGAGGCATGTGATCCCAAAAGCCTATTCATGGAGCATTTGAATCCCAATTACCATGCCAAGGCACCTGCTCTCCATCTCTCATGCATCTAACGTATGATTCCCATTCCCTATGCATCAGGCACCTCATTCATGTATCGAGTGCATCACGCATTCCATATCCCAAGGTCAGATGAGGTCTGGTCGAAGAGCAGCGCAGCGCTCGGTCGCTATAGCATGGCGAGGTGAGATGAATGTCGGGTATGAGCTATCGAGACGTTTTGTTATCATAGGGCAAGCTTCTGGTTCGCATTCCACATGCATCACACATCTCATTCACGCACCTGATCTCCATTTTCCATGTGTCATATGCATCACGCCATTCATATTTCCATACACTGTGCTTCTGATTCCCATTGCCCCATGAATCAGCCATTCTTGATGAAGCTTACAGTACACATTTGATGGTATGATGCGCCTCCACCCATGTCTTAAGACTCTAGGCCGGCCCACTCACTTGGTGGATTCAGAGGGGAGTTCACATACCAAGAGGCCGGCAATGGGGAGTGCAAGGGGGTGGGTGGGGGGAAGGTCAGGTGAGGGCAGAGAACAGCTCGGTTGCTATTATATGGTGAGGTCAGATGGATGCCGGGTGTTGAGATGCTTTGTTGTCAGCACGCGGTGCTTGGGCATTTGCAGCAGTTTGCACAGCGCTTCGAATAGCATGCTGGGCTGGGAGGGGTGTCATGGTGTCATGGTGTCATGGTGTCATGGTGTCATGGTGTCATGGTGTCATGGTGTCATGGTGTCATGGTGTCATGGTGTCATGGTGTCATGGTGTCATGGTGTCATGGTGTCATGGTGTCATGGTGTCATGGTGTCATGGTGTCATGGTGTCATGGTGTCATGGTGTCATGGGGCTTGGATATCATGCTGGGTTCGTGACCACTCTTGAGGCTGCCGCTCGAGCCTAGCAGAATGCACCAGATCGCCATTTCCTCCTCTTTCTCGTTGAAACATTTGCGCCCTACATTTGAAATCTAGATTACATTTTTTCTGTGCATTCGACAACAGTTTTTCATTCCCTGCGCATCCGACATCAGTTTTCCATGTCCTGTGCATGCGGTATCAGTTTTCCATTTCCTGTGCATTCGGCATCAGTTTTCCATTTCCTGTGCATTCGGTATCAGTTTTCCATTTCCTGTGCATTCGGTATCAGTTTTCCATTTCCTGTGCATTCGGTATCAGTTTTCCATTTCCTGTGCATTCGGTATCAGTTTTCCATTTCCTGTGCATTCGGTATCAGTTTTCCATTTCCTGTGCATTCGGTATCTGACTATAACTCCCCACCCAGCATGCATCGTGTATCTCATTCCAATCATCCATGTATCAGGCATCTTAATCCCCTTCTCCATGCATTTGGCATCGCATCCCATTTCACATGCATAAGGCATCTGATTCCCACTTCTCATGCACGCAAAAGGAGATACTGCCTTATTTCGTATTCATGCATTAATGATTCAGTCCCAGTTTCTTCGCACTAAAAAGTCGATTCCTATTTCCCATGCATCAGGCTCTGACGTTTTCATTTCCCATGCCACATGCCGCTCTTTTTATGCCTCATACATCAGGCTTGATCGCCACTTTTCATGCGTCATGCATCTGTTTTCTGATACCCATATGGTGTCCGACTCCCATCGCCCATGTATCAGCCATTGGCTCTCATTGGCTTGACCTCGCTCACCTGTGTCAGCAGGAAGTGCCAGGACTGACCTAGCAGAGTCACATGTGTCACATTGAGTCGGGGTCAGGGAAGCTGATAAGGGGAACTGATGTCATGATGATTTCATTTCAAAATATGACTTAAACCAGCTCTGCTGTTTTGGCAAAGGTGCTCTTGTACACAAGTGGAATATGGCCTATTCCTTCCAGTCACGTTGTCGCTCTCATGGGGGAGCCAACAAGTCTTATGTATTGCTGCTGATCGTTGTGTGTTGACAGGTGTGATACTGGAGTTTTAAGCGATTGAACTTGTTACCTACCAGCCTTGAAATGTGAACATGTGAACATGCTATGGGTGTCATTGAAATGTTTGTTGTAACCACTAATAGAACGCATGCTTTCCAATTTATGACGAACAGGAAACCTTCAGAACATAGAGACTTTGTTGGCAATGGGATAAATATGACATGAAGTTGCACAACTAACTTGAGCGCACCTGATTTTCTCATTTCAAAAAGCTGGTTGTGCTGTAAGGGGTATACCACCTAGGTTTTCGTGATCCAGTTGGATCTAATCTCGCCATTGCTACTTCCAAAACAGTCGCCCATGCTTCCCTCGCTGACCCAACACTAGTTTGCTGAAGCCGCTGTCACGATGTAGAATTGCTGCTGGATCTTATGTAGAGCATCTGGTCTTGACGTCACATGAATAGCAAGGCCCTTGGTCGCTGCCATCAGCCAACCTCGCCTCTCCTAGTCAACCGAAAGGCGTGGCCCGACGTCTGTCGCGTCTGTCGCGGCCCGACGTCTGTCGCGGCCCGACGTCTGTCGCGTCTGTCGCGGCCCGACGTCTGTCGCGTCTGTCGCGGCCCGACGTCGAACCCACGGCCCGACGTCTGTCGCGTGACTTAACCTGAGGAAACTCGCTACGCGTATAGTGAGTGGGTCCACGTCGAAGGTGTGCCAAATGCGGTTTCAAGTCGATGATGTTGGTGCAATCAATGCGCTGTAATGTCGGTGTGAGCTCTTTCTGCCGTCCGATTGCACCCCAGCCGCTTGTTTTCCTCCTCCGCCATCCCGTTTCGCGTCATCCACGTGAATGTTCTGGCAAGGGGACATTTGTCATGATCAATCGATTTATTTAAAATATAATATAGCGGGGAGGAGCCATTGCTAGGCGGGTATAGGTCAGGCACAGAAAATACGAAGGCGACGTGAGGTAGCCTCGGTGTCGAGGAAATTGGCCTTCCGAGAGTCGGGGTTGTACGGCGAAGAAGTAAACCTCGAAAAGGAAATCTATTTTTAGATACACAAAGTGACCTGACATGTAACGAGTATAACCAGAATACTCACACCAGCTGTGCAGGTGTTTCCCCCCGTTGGCTGAGCGAGGATTCCGCTGAACTCACACCACCAAGGTGGGACTAGGTTGCGGGAATAGGAGGCCTCACAATTTCAGGATATTATTATTTTCTATATAGAGTTCGGCCATCATAAGAGTCTCCGTTTGATCTTCGCTTAACGTTTTGCCTTTCAAGTTGCCGTCATCTGGTGACAGGACGATGGTGCAGCGGCGGGGAGGTGGCGGAAAGGATGGGGCAGCGGGAATGGCGGAGGAGGCGCACGTGCCGCTGCAAGCCATATTATTGGCTGACAGCTTCGCACAGACGTTCCGACCAATCACGCTGCGCAAACCCAAGGTGGGGGGTCGCGGCAACTTGGTGGCTGTTAAACCCCTGACACTCACGCTCCTTAGTGGAGATTCAAAGCACAGTACGTTGTATCGAAGCATCTTGTAGCGCAGCTGGTCGATCTGGATCTGGCAGCAGTGATTGTCCGCGTATATCCACCACCCGTCATCCGCTATCCGTCACCATCACCGGCGTATACGTGATGGTGCTGCTACACGAAGGTGCTGCTGCCAGTGGCGCGCGCGGCGATGACGGACTATACGCGCGACACAAGCACCCCTTTCTCTCCTCCACAACCCTCTCAAAACTCCCCCTCCCCTTCCACCTCCCCTTCCCCCTGCGGCGCGCAGGTGCTGCTGCCGGTGGCGGGCGCGGCGATGGTGGACTACACGCTCGACTTAAGAACCCCTCGCCCTTCTCCAAAGCACTCTCCGAAACATCCCTCCCCCTCCCTTCCCCCCTCCCCCCTCCCCCTCCCCCGCTCCCCCTTCCCCCCCCCCTCCTCCTCCCTCATCTTCATGCGTTGCGCAGGTGCTGCTACCGGTAGCGGGGGCAGCAATGGTGGACTACACGCTCGAGTCAAGAAGTCCCTCCTGCCCGTCCGAACTCCACCCCCCCCTTCCACCTCCTCCCCCTCCACCCCACTCGCGGCAGGTGCTGCTGCCGGTAGCGGGCGCAGCGATGGTGGACTACACGCTCGAGTGGCTGGCCATGGCGGGCGTCGAGGAGACCTTCGTCTTCTGCTGCGCGCACTCCACCCAGGTGCGCCCGCCTCTCCTCTCCGCGCAGGTGCGCGCACTTCTCCCCAGGTGCGCGCACTCTCCCCACTCCCCTCAGGTGCGCCACTCCCCCAGGTGCGCGCACTCCCCCCAGGTGCTCACACTCCCTGGTGCGCGCACCCCCTTTGACATGTATGTTGACTTGCATTGGCATGTGTTGACCATGTTGACTTGCATTGACCTGCATGGGCATGAGCCATGTCCATGCGCCATCGCCCTCCGCCACGCCCATCCCATCAGATCCGAGCGCACCTGGAGGATGCCGCCTGGATGCGCCCCTCTGCCTCCTCGCACCACCAGGGGGGGGGCGGCGGGCAGCGGCACGGTATGCGCGTGTCGACGGTGGTGGCGCATGACTGTGTGAGCGTGGGGGACGCACTCCGACACATGGACCACAAAGGAGTGGTGAGTCATGGCATGGATCACAAGGGCGTGGTGAGTTGAGTCATGGCATGGATCACAAGGGCGTGGTGAGTTGAGTCATGGCATGGATCACAAGGGCGTGGTGAGTTGAGTCATGGCATGGATCACAAGGGCGTGGTGAGTTGAGTCATGGCATGGATCACAAGGGCGTGGTGAGTTGAGTCATGGCATGGATCACAAGGGCG